AGATGATGGATGGGTCCCATCATGCTTGGTTGCTTTTTTGTTGTTTGTTTTTAAAATATATCTGTTGAACCACAATTCAAAAGCAATGTCATGATTTTCATTACATTTTCATTTCTTATTACTTTTGTCAATTTCAATGACAGCTGTTTCCTTCTTTAATGGGAGGGTATGAACACATCTGAGGACACCTGCATCTGTGTGTTTTCTGAGTAGCATGAACAGACTCCATCTTTAATTTCATTGCCTTGTGACGTAATGCTAATTAAACTGCATTTTGATGAGGAAATCTCCTTCTAAGCCACTTCTACACAGTGGGACAGTCACGTTGATAAGCCTTGATGACGCATTCACCCAGTCTGCAGTAGGGTTTTTTTTTCCAGCCTTCCTTTCCGCTTTGGCTGCAGGAGCTTTGTTGCTTATCGTATTTTTAAACTCCTCATATTTTGGTGCAGGATTATAGTTTGTACTTCCTGTGAGAACTACGCAGCTCTACACCTGTTCACGTTTGTGGCTGCCAACACACAGGTATGTAAACATGCTCGTAGTCAGGTTATGAAACCCCCGAGTTGATAACCAGCTCCACGTGACCACTTAGCCTGACTGTTAGGTTTAGTGAAGCCAGATTACTAAAAGACATCTGGGGTATGTTGAACTTGCTTCCTGGTACGTGCTACTCCAATCCAGACCCTCACTGGATTAGGCGCGAGGTAGAATCGGCCAATTATCAAACACTGTAAATCAGGATTGGACACCAAGGTTCCTTCTGTGATTACGAGCTAACATGGAGTTTAGTTTACTAGCTGGCTTACAGTTGCACATATTTAGTCATAAATCAAATTAATGGACAAGTTTTCAGCTGAAGTGTTTATAATTAATGAATGTCTGAACCAAACTTCATGACAATCAAATACTATGTCGGTTGACCAACAACGTTTATAGAAATCAGTTCAAACCGCTTTGATAAACTTCTGTCAGTCTTCAGATAGCGATCAGACACCTGACTCTTTATGACCATCATCAATGTTTAATAACAGGTTTTTCCATTAGATAAGACCTAGCCTCTGCACATTAATGTCATGCAGGTTTATCAGCCGGGAGACACCTTTCTCCTGTAACTGCACACTGATGGAAAATCTGTTGTTCATTATGCTGGACACCGAGATCAAAAGACAAATGCACATACAAAGAAGAATCAATCCACTTGACAACTACTTGGGGTTTAAAGATTTCTAATTATATCCAGGTTTGTCTAAAAAAATATGAAAGATTTGTGATGTTTTCTCAGGTTTTTGAATCTTAACACACCTGAAAATGGAGGCAGATTTATCAGAAATGTCACACGCCGAGTTTACAGCTTTACGTGAAAAAAGTGAATACGTGTCCGCTGTAAACTGTGACAGTAAATCCTACTCTGTTTTCTGTTAACTACATATTTCATTTATGTGGGCTTAAATTTGAGAAAAAGGAATTAGAATATTATTTTCCCAACAAGGCAACAAACATTGTGATGAGTGACCAGACGTGAGCTTTAATTTACATGGTTGAGTGTGTTTAGAATGGAAACTGAATTGAAAAACTCATTTAATTTCAACATACAATAGTAGAAATAACCATATTTTGTATAAATTCTGATGCGGAAGAGTCGTGAAGTTTATAAAGATGAATAACTCGACAGATTACCCTGAAATGAAGACAAAAAAATCTGCTTGGCATTTATTTGACAATTAATTCTAATGCCACATTTTATTTGCTTTCAGTCACCAGAGCTGCAGAGAAACACACAAGGAGAGTTTATTGTGATGATGATTTAATATTTCTGTGGCTGCTTTACCTAAACCGACCTCAAGCTGATTTATGATTTTCATTTACGGATTTCTTTGATTTACGATACAGGAGCAGCTTGTCCCACAGTGCAGTAGAGAAGACGAGAAGTCTGCCAGCGTCGACTCTCTACTGTACTGATGGGCTCTCAGATGGACGAACAGATGGAAATTATTCATGTTTCTGATTTCTGTCTTTATCATAGATGGAGCTAAAAAAACAATCCGGCTGTTCGCCAAGAGGGTGTTGTTTTACAAAGAGCGCAGCATCCTTCCTTCTTATTAGGTTGAAATGTCAACCATGTATATATTAGGACATTACAAATTAAATCCACTGTAATTTAACATGAGCAGATTTGTCCTTATGGATTATTCTGACATCTTTGGTTGATGTGGACATGAGTACGTTTTCTGTAAACTTGACTAGAAACTGACAGAAAGTTTTCTATTTTCTGCACTTTTCATCTATTTAGGCTTGAATCATTTGTAAAGAAATAGACATATTTATTCCCAATGGGGCAATTATTATACAGTGCCCTCCATAATTATTGGTTAAGATGTGTTAAAAGCCTTAAAATAAATTCAATCTTTGTTGCAGAAGCATACTCTCACACTGAAAATAGTAGAAAAATGTAACCTTTAACTCAACTCAAATGAATTGTTGGCAAAAGGGGGCTGTACAAAGTATTAACATCAAGGGTGCTAATAATTGTGGCAAACATGATTTGATGTAAAAGAATAATTTTTTAATATGGGATTTTTTTCACACTGAATAAATGCACCTGAATTAAAGGTTGAATTTTCCTCTTTTTTTTTCATTGTGGTCCTATATTATTTAGAAAAAAAAAAGAATTTACTAGAAGCTAAAGAACACATCTTAACCAGGGGTGCCAATAATTATGGAGGGTGCTGTGTGTTAAGATTTAAAAAAACAAAACAAAACATTTATGTAGTTTTAGATCTTGAAAACGAACACAATTAAATAAAATTTGAGTCTAATGAGGTCAATTTGATTCATGGTTGTACTACCTATATATGATCATTTATTTAATAATGTTGTATTTATTTACTTAATTTTGAACACTTTAAAGCGCCATATATATACTGCATCTTAGTGATTTGAATGTGCAGATAAGAAAGCATCACCTGATTTTGACTCTTTGATCGTGATTAGGCTCATTTATGAGATGGACACACACAGTAGTCTTCATATGCATGCAGTGGAAGCACTCTACGCTCTCTACTGATTTCCCTTAGTTTTAACTGTTTAAACTATTATTGCAGTCAAAAAGGTTTAACAAAAGAAAGCAGCCGAAAAAATGTGCGTTTGAGGCCCAGATGAAGACACAAAAGTGAGGCGGCGTGCACCAAAGCATTCACGTGTAATTCAGGTAAACACAGTGTGAGAAATGAGCAGGTGGAGTAAACATGGGATTATTCATACCTGCACTTAAAGCTGACTCTTAAACTGGAGGGTTTCAATCCACAAACTTTTTCAATCTGCATGTAAATGTGATTTTGAGCAAGACGTGGATTATCAAGATGTGATGGCACTCACTGGAGCAAAGTTAAATAGAACATTTATAAGAAGCAAATCAATTACAGTTAAGGATAGATAGTATATAATGAAGCTACTGTTTTTGTTTTCGTATTTTTAACCAATACAATTACCAGGGCCATGGGGGAAATGGCCTTTTCCACAAAAATCCCTCAAGATATTTTTTATGGCATGTATTTGACCAGAAATGTCCCATTAAGATTTATAAGGTGATCAGATCAGAGGGCAAACATTAATTCCACAATATCTGCTGACCTTGGTGCTCCAACCAAAAAAACAAAAAAAATTAGTATTTGAAGCGTTGGCTAATCTTATCAAATGTCACACCAACTGTTACAAAGGATGGTTGTTAATTATTTGGTCATATTTTCCATCTTGGGGGCAGTCCAGAAAAAAATGCACAAAGGGGCTGAACCAGGTGGCAAACAGCTGTGAGCAGATATATACGGAGGCGTGTGCTGTTCATGACTTAGAGCGCTCACAGGTTGTCTGCGTCTGGCTCCCAAAGCTTCTCACCATGAACTTCATCCGTGTTCTGTCCTGCCTCACCCTGCTGGTGACAGCTGCTGCTGCCCAGCACCCCAAACCCTGTGGTGAGTATGGTGCTAACATAGACTGTATAAAGCTCTTTTATACAGTCTATGGATGGCAACCACAGAAAATTAGTTAGGTTTTTTTTTTTTTTTTTTTGCTTCAATTGAGAGTTTGAACTGCTGCTGCAGAGATGAGTGAAAGTGCTTTTTATTTAAAAAAATATGCATTTGCGTCTATAAGAGCCACAGAATAAATGCAGGAAAACTACATGGGTGGTAGAAACTGCTTCTTTTTTTCTTTTTTTTAACTTTTATTTTTGGTTGTCTTTTGCATGTTGACCCTATTCAGGACTTTTTTTTTATTTTTAAAGATTTTTTTAAAGATTCAAAGATGGAAATTTGTCATGGATTTGGAACCAAAACTATGTCAACTTATCAGAAAATGTATTTAACATAGCATAAAAGTCTATAAAGAATACCAACAAATGTTTTGCACATATTCTTTCTTTGGGGTCCAGTGGACCCTGAAAGACCTTCTACGTATGGCAACAAAAAAAGCCCTGAATAGGGTTTAACTGTTCTTCTGTACTGTGAATTCATCTTCATTCATTCAGTATCTCATTCATCAGTTTATTTTGAGTGATGAGAAGCTAAAACAGTAAAGCGTTTAAATGTGTCACTTTTTTTTTTTTGTAAATATTTTGTTTTTTTCTGCAAAGACAAATTAGGATGGTAAATTTATATGTTTTATCTATCTTAATGTTACCTTAATGAAACAAAAACAGGCTATAAAACAAAGTTAGTTTACCCAGTATGGTATGATTTTCAATGAGCAGAGATGTTGTCTTGCTTTAAATTATGACATAAAGGATTCGTTGGTTATTTACATTTTCTTTTGTTCCACAGAATCTCCTCCGTTGATGAGCGGCGGCCACACTGTGGTGAGTTCAGCTTCCCTCACATGTAATCTCTCTTTTTTCCCCCCCTCACTTTCTACGCTTTGTCTTTTTATTTTCTTTAGATGGTTGGTGAAGGAATAACGGCCACAGGAAATATCGCCTATGATGCCTTTGCACAGAGGGTTCGGGTTAGAGAGGTTGCGTTGACAGGCAACCACACTGCTGTTACGGAGCAGCTGATGCTTTTCTCAGAGGTAGTTTATCCTAATTATAGTACATTTTTTTTTGTTGTTGTTCAGATGCTGAGTTTGAAATCTCATTTTGCAGATAACAATACTTTCTGAAACATTTTGTCAATGTTCAATAGATTACCTTTGTATGATGTATATAAAGGTATATAAAATTAGAAACTGAAAACAATTAATTTAGTCACTGGAAAACAGAAACCCTTGAAGGTCTATTAGTGCAATTAAGTGGAAAATAATTTTCATTTTAAGGAAAATTTTAGTGGAAATGGAATAAAATGAGTTAACCAAAGGAAGACTGTCTGTAGAAAATGTATCACAACTGCATCAAAATAATAAGCAAGCAACTCAGATGAATGATCTGCATTTTCTAAATGACTAAAATCACTCTGGACCAGACATGTCAGTCGAGCCACTGCCACCCCCAAACATACCTCTCTTTGAAGCCTAATATCTACGTAATTATTGAATTATTTAAAAGATTACCACAAGCACGCTGATGTAAAGGAGTGACTTTAGACAATGATGTCAGAATCGCTTCTGGTAAAATGTGTTGACTTTTGATTTTCATGAGGGAAATCAACATTTTTCAAACAGGAGTCTATTGGAATGAGAAAGCAGCACCTACTGACCATCAGTGGTATTGCACTTTAAGGTACTTGGCCACTGACAAGCCAAGAGAGTGCTACTCATTAAGAAAACATTCAAAGACACAGCAGACCACAATGATTGGATAAAGACAATGTTTTGAGCAGTGGAAGGAAAGCATATGTATTTTTTGTTCTTAATTTCAGAAAGTCTATTATGAGATTGACTGGTCGCGTGTGAAATGCACGAAGAAGAAGCTGGACGGCTTCTTCGTTCCCATGCACGTGCCCAAGGATGCTAAGCTGATGGGTCAGGTTTTCATGGGATCATCCTCCTCTTGGGGAATGGGTGTGCTGACCAACACCTGGTACGGAAGCTTGCCAGGAAACGGTAAGAGGACACACAGAAAAATCTGCTTTTATTGATGTTCTGTGATACTATACTGATGCTGGAGTGGTGATAAAAGTCTGTGACCGACAACTTGCCACACAAATCCACAAAAATTAGTCTCCTGATGAGGCCACTTCACCACATAAATATTCAAGCATGATATTCGGACACACTCTGGCCCAGTTTTTGTAACAAAAGGCAGAACATTTTTGTATTTATGCATTACGCATAATTTAAGTTGCATTTTTTTCACTTTGCAGTAGCCAGCCATAGAGATATTTTTGGTTTTCAGTAATTAAAACCACTAAACTTTAAAAGTTGAATTCTGCTGGGAAGATATCAGTTTCATCCCCGTGTGTTCAGCAGTGAGACTAGCAAGCTAACAACTGAGAAAATGCAAAATGTGATCAGGCTTCCTGTTGAACAGCACTTTCAAAAGAGGCTTTTGAATGTGCTGAGTGACTAAATGACAAGTAATATAACAAAGAATTTATTTCTTAACATTTTCTTGCTGTGTTGAATGAATTATAAACTTCCATTTAAAAGTGGTTGGATTCTTGCTGTTCTGTGCAGTTCAGCCTGATTATTGTTTTCAGGACTTTACTCAAATGTCTTTACCGAGATCGGCTGCATCCCTTTGACCTACACCAGCTATACCCCAGCACATGGGTGGATCACAGTCAGGTAAGAACACACAGAAGCACAGAAATACAAATAAAATACCCAACATCTCCATTCCAGATATTATCAGAACTAACCCCTGACAGTGACCCTTTAGTAGCTGTAAGTTTGTGAAGTTTTCTGAAGATATCATATATAAATCCACTGCATTCACAACCTAGCCTCACAGTATGAGCTCATAATGCTCGTCTTGCTGTCTGTTGGGTTTCAGAGGGTTTTTTTTTTTTTTTTTAAATCAATACTGTAGAACAGCAATTGTTAAATCAATCAAGCTCTTTTTAATACAGAAGTAATCACCCCGGGCAGAACTGGGATCATAACTGTTAAAGATCGATCCACGGTTTAGGGCATCAGTGTGGTAGAACGCTTCATACACTGCTGTACTGTATGCCCCCTAGACCAAGTATGAAGTCTGTGTTGCATCAAGTCAAACAGCATTCCTTGTAAACAAGAATCACTCCTAAAATGTTGTTTATTCTTCAGCACCTTCAACTGGGTGGTGGGCCTCTCAAACCCCATGGACTTCGTCCCCCCTAGCATCTGTGAAAGAGCTGAACTGGAGGAAACAGAGACAATCGACAACTTCTTCACCGCCCTCAGATCTCTGGCCATAAAGAGCTAGAAACACGAGTGAAAACCTGAGAGTGTCTCCCTGAGATAATCACAGATTCTGCTCCTGTCATCAGAGCAGAGCTAAATTTGAAAATGAAAAGTAAAATGAATCACACAAACAAGATTTCCAAAGTGGTTTTCACCTGCTGTGCCCCCATGTAGCCACCAGACAACAAACACAACAGGAATGCATGTGACCCATCATTCGTCCGATGTGTAGTTATAATGGAGGGGGGAAATCTTGTACGTTGTGAAAGGATATATTGATCTAACGCAGTAAAATCTAGAAGTAAACAGTTACAACCAAGTGAAGGAGGCCTTCTTAGAACAGCTCAGGTCTCGTATTTGTTGTGTATCTGTCTGCTTTTTACTGAAATCCATAAAAAGCATTCAAAAATACTCAACGTATCTTAAGTTGTATTCTTGACTGAATGAATGAATGAATGAATGAGTCAGACAAATGAAAACAACCATGACATAACCATCGGAAGTTACAGTTTAAAATTGCAATAAATAGAAACAGTTACAGTGAAATGTAAATATTTAATCCTCACCAAATGTGTTTTTCATGCTAAGACATAAAGCTGTGGCAAAGTAATCATCACTCAGCAACTAAACCACAGATGACCACAAATTTCTGCACGTCTTTTAGCTCAAGTAGATGCAGGTCGTCTACAGAAGCCTGTTCATACCAGGAAAAACTAGGAATGACTTCTTCTATAAAATGTTTTTTTTTCAATCCACATCAGGTTTGCACAAAAATATAATGGATTCCTCCTTCCACCATGCTCCACGACCTCCAAATTTTAAAATTGCTGTGGTAGTTTTTGCATAATTCTGCTTATAGACGCAACAAACAAACTGTAAAATAAAATAAAAAATATGTGAAACAAAACAATGGGGAAAATCTGGCACCAAACATGCCAGAAAAATTATATTTAAAAAAAAAAAAAAAAAAGGAAAAAAATACGTTATTTACTATAACAAACAAACCCAAAAAAAAAACAAAAAACAAAACAAACAAAACAAAAAAAAAACAAAAAACATGACAATAATGGAAAATATCTGCAAAACAATTTTATTTGGTGGAATTTTAAGTTGGCCTGTTTTCTTACAGTTAAAATGTAAATTAATACATTATTTTAGTGATTTAACTGGTAGCTATATGCTATTTAAAGAAAAAAACAAATCAAGGAAAATCTGTAATATTAAAGGAAATTGCTCAGAAATTACCATAAAAAAAACTGTTAAAAGAAAAAAAAATTAACAGTATATTGAAAATCTCCGTGAAGGAATATCTTGTCAAAAATAAAGACTGAATTCAAGATAAACTCGATAAACTCATTGAGATTTTTAGCATAAGGGTCAAGCTAGCAACAGACTTTAACAATGTTAAAAGGTGAAAGGGTGGAGCCATTAATACACTGGGAGGACTGAATGGGGAATTAAAGCCACCAAGGAGTCTGAAGTAGAGGCAGCCAGGAGATTAAAAAATGATTTATAGATCAGTGCAGCTGCAGATTTCTCAGTCTGAGCCATATGTGCATTATTATAATGCTGTGGAGCTGCTTCATTCGGTGGCATCAAAGTGTTTGCCGTGTCTAAGCGTCCAAGGTGCAGCGTCACACTTGTTTGGTCAGATTTGCTTTAAGTTTATTTACCTGAAGCTGCTTCTTTGATGAGATTTCTGGCGAATAGCAGCAAATGGACATAATATGAAGGTGATGAAGGAAAAGGCAAGTTAGAGGATGTCACAGTGCAGGGTTACAAGAGTTCCTACATATTTAGATGCTGATAGTGAGAGCCAGCTACTAATGCTGTGAGTGTTTACATTCATGCTGGTAATCTCAGAAAATAGGACAATTTAGCATTTTTATTATTTCTACTGACTGTATCATACCTGATGTAGGATATATATGAAGGTAACAGTGTTATTATTTCGTGTAGAGCATGTTTAAGGGGCTGCAAGGTTGGTAGCACTGTTGCCTCGCAGCAAGAAGGTCGTCGGTTGGGTGGGGGCACCAGGATCTTTCTGCGTGGAGTTTGCATGTTCTCTCCGTGCAGCGTGGGTTCTCTTCAGGTTCTCCGGCTTCCTCCCACAGTCCAAAAACATGTTGAGGTTAATTGGTGATTCTAAATTGTCTGTAGGTGTGAGTGTGCTTGGTTGTCTGTCTCTAAGTGTAGCCCTGTGATAGACTGGTGACCTGTCCAGGGTGTCCCCTGTCTTCACCTTAAGTCAGCTGGGATAGGCTCCAGCCCCCCACGAACCTAGTGAGGATTAATCGGGTGTATAGATAATGGATGGATGGATGTTTAAGCTCCAAAGAATTGAGGCAACTGAGGAAAGTGTTTAGCTTAAAGAGATCTTCAGCCTCTTTCTGATGAAGGGTTTGATAAGAAGCTCACTATTGTGCTTCTATCTTTGAATTTGAAGCCTCAGAATATGGTTAGCTTAGCTGCGCATAGCATTTTGCTCTCTGAAACTATTTTGGCACTTCGCTGCATTACCCTCCAGTGGATCAGTAACTCCCTGCAGCCTCTGCTGATCAGAATTGATCAGAAATATTCGGGCCCGTTTCAAACTGTACATTTTCCGTATTACATGAATTAAACAAACAGGAAAATCTGTAGCTTTAGACATGTTGGTGGATTTTGTGCAGCGACTTACAAGACAATCCGACAAACATACGAGTACCTTGCTCCCTGTGCCATCTGAATTTAGAAATTTTGAAGAAAACACATATTTATACTGTTTATAACAACTGTGAGGACATGCTTCTAAGAACTCAGTAGTTTCAGCCCTGTTAGGTAGAAATTATGCTATAGTGAGTCTCTTTACATACCTCACAAATGGACTTTCCTTCATCGCGCTCTTCCCCCGACATTCCAGGTCATTTCTTCTCATTGTTAACAACCGTCTCCTTCTATTAAATGGGATTGCGTGAGTGTGTGTATCTACTTAGACCTTCAATCGTGGACCCATATCTTCCGCTTTCTTCTTGCCACACATTGTCAGTGTCTCTTTAAGGTAGCTGAATACAGCTTCTTCCCGTTCAAAGGAACAATAAGCCGTGAAGCTACTGGTTGGAAGATGCACGCTAGAAACACTGGGAATAATGGCAATGGCTGCTATTGTTGTAGAGCAAATGATGCTTTTAAAAAAAAAAAAAAAAAAAAGCAAGAAAACACCACTTAATCCTCAGGGTCGCAGGGGGGCTGGGGTCTATTCCAGCTGACTTAGGGCGACCTTCTTGCTGCGAGGCAACGGTGCTAACCACCGCTCCACCTTGCAGCCCCCTGGTCACGTTTGTTTTTGAGAAAGATTAATTTTATACATTTTGTAGCTGCTGGATAAATGGTTTTGTTGCATTGAAAGAAATGTACGACAGAATTTCACCTGTTTTAAATCAACACGTGTTTCCACTGAGCACACTGACTGTAACAGAAGCAAAGGAAGAAGCCAGGTGACAAGAAAACATTGGACATGAGCTGCTGTTTGTTCCGGTATCTGTGTTTTGTTCTCTTCACCATCATCTGCATTCTCTCCCTGATTAAACTACAGGCAGAGGCTGAATAATGGTGTATGCTGCAGCGTCAGCAGTGTTCATAGTTTCACCACTTTAGTAAATATAGAACCCTACATGGATGCAAATTGCTTGACCTTCACACTTGTGATAAACATGTCATCTGTCAGCAAGTCTATTATGAGACTGAAAGAGGGAGGGGGGGAGCCGCCTCATCATAATGGATTCAGCTAGTTTCAGCTCAGTTTTTCTCTTTACGAGTGTGAATTTCATGATTTCATGTCTTAAAAGTTAATATTTTTGATCTATACCACTGACTAGTACAAAAATCATCAGTCATTTCAATATGACTGTGATGCAATATTTAAAACAAGAGCATAAAGACTGGAAACAGGCATTTGGTTGGCCTGACTTGTCATAAAAAATCAAACTGAAGCGCCCTTAAAGCTCACTATTTGACACATTGGTGGCACCTAAATTTCCCCACCATAGATTTGATCAAAAGGATTATCTTATTTTATCTCATTATACATTATTGCTGTTGTTTACTTACCACAAAAAATGTAAGTGTAAAACATTATTATTAACTATTTTGATGGCATTTTAATCAGCAAGTCTTAAATTGTGCCTGAAGATATGCAGGTCTTGACACATTCTAACAGATCCAGGCTTCCTGTTTCATCCTGTTGTCAGTTTTCATTCTGAGATACGTTAACTGTATCAATGAACTTGTCATCATCGTTAACCGCTCCATCTGTAACTCCTTTAACAAGTCAAAAGTCAGCTATAAATATGAAAAAGTACATTTTTGCTTCACCTCCAGAACCTTTAAGTGGGTGTTAAGTACCACAAACTCCATGAACTTCACTCCTCCTCCAAATCTGTGAAAGAGCTCAACTAGACGACAGAGACACCGGATATAATCTTTGCCGCCTTTGATTCTCTGGCACAAAACACACATCCAGTGGTGTAAACATCTGGTTGACACACAAGGAAAATCATTGTTACTGTTTTAGTCTGTGCACTGTAGCTACGTGTGATTCAGACAATATGTACATCATCCTTGAGCAGTGGTTCTCAAATTTTTTGAGCCATGACCCCCAAGATTTGTGTTTGTGACCCCCCAATTTGAATTTTTAATATATCATGAGTAATAATGTTGTTGTTCATGCATTAATACGCTAAAATTTAATTTGTTAATTCCACAGATTAATCTCTTTACATTAACATATTAATTTTCTTTTGAATGAATGAATGAAGTGAATTTATTTCAATCAAATGAAAGAGAAAAAATAGATAAAAAACTAAAGAAAATAATTTTTAAAAAATTAAAAAAGAGCAAAAAAGAATAATAATATTGTATAATCAAATCATAATATTAACAAGTTCGAAAAAGGAGTGGGGAGAAGTATACACTGTTAATTTTGACAGCCCTAATACTAATTTATTTGATACATGTAGGCTTTATTTATTTTTTTTTAATTTATTTTTTACAATGATCTGGTGACCCCCTGAAATGGTCTTGGGACCCCCAGTTTGAGAACCACTGTCCTAAAGTAATACAATACAATATATTTTTCAGGTTGAAATATGAAGTAAGAATTAACCTAAACTGAGGTGAAAAACTGGAAAAGAAGAAAAAAAAGTTTGTTTTTTTTTGTTAGGTTTTTTTCAAAGCAGTTGGACATTTGAATCAGGGAGTGAATAGCATAGCATTATAAAGTAATACAGTACCAGAATTTAAGTTTGAAATGGTATAAACTTCTCACCAAACATATATAAAACTACTAATAAAAAAAAAAAAAAAAAAAGCAATTGAAGAAGTGTCTTACTTAAAATAGAACCATGCAGACACTGTGTGTACCACAAGCTCTG